CCGTGCTTCCTTGTGGAACTTCATCGATGACTAATTTAGTGATTTTTGTAAAGATCCAGTATGCGAGTTGTGCCTGTCACTTTCCTGAATACGTTGGTTTATAGACGCCCCGCCATCTTCGCAACATACTAGCGCAGCAAGAAAAGTAAGAGGAATGTTCCCTATTTTGTGCTATCGTGGCATCTATGTTCGGCTAGACGGCCTTGAGAGGCGCCTCAAGGGTGAACACCTGGTCACATCTGCTGACATAGAGGGTGCTATTCACGTTTTCTGTTCAGAAATTCTCCCTGTGACGTTAAAAAAAGCAGTAAATCTAACGATGTGGTTTTCGAGTCAAGCAAATTTTCATGGGAGGATTCAGAAGACTAATTAGCGGGCGAACGCGTGCCTGGATAAATTTCCATCGGGAAAGTGCATTCACATGGGAACGGTGCACGAGCAAATCATGTGAGAAATAAAAGAAATGGATTACATTCCATATTTTCACACAAGTGGGCTGTGAGAACAGGGCGGAAATAAATAAGGGACGGGGTGTTAAGAGGCAGTGAGGGTTGGGCAGTTTTTTATTTTGAATATTAATCTTTAAAATAAAAAACTATTACAAAGGGCCGTTCTTGACGTGAGGATAATTCGCCTGCACCCTAATCTCTAATGCTTTTTGCCTGAGGACTTGATTGCTATAGCTGGCACGCAGTCGCATAGTCTTTCCAAATCAACCAGAAGTCATGCAAGCCTGCCAAGTTGGGCTTTCTGGAGAAAGCTCTGGCTCTAGGAAACTTCTTGCCCTTTAAGCCAAACGTCGGTGGTCGTTACCTATTTCTAGAAAGCTGGACATACTGTATGAACACAGCATGAATGAAGTTGACGTCCCCGGATTGTTGACTCCCGTGAGCCCTACGGCAGTGTTATGCACAATAATGCAGCCGAAAACAGGGCTGTTTGGACTGGTGTTATACCACCTTCACCACTGGCCTCTAATAGCTACTGAAGAAGCTGACTACCAGCCTAATAAATCTGTCTTACCAAAATCGCTTGAAGCGTGGTCTGTCACTGGTGTACTCTTAACCGTCGCCGACTGCTGTGGAAGAGTCGCGGACTGCAATCTTCGGTAGGATGTGGTCATGAAGTCCAACATGATGGACACAATACTGTTAGGCTTGGGGTTATGGGTGGTGTTTAGGGGTTAGAATTAGGGGTTAGGGTTGGAGGTTAGGCGTTAGGGCAAATACTTCTCAACCAACAACCGCGCATTCCCAATAGCTTTTTTTTTGCATCCAATTACTTGACCTCGTTGCTTTTGCGTTCCTCCGTTCCACCCGTAAAAAACCCTCTTACCACCGGTCCCGTATTAGAGGTGAATGGTGTTTTTTTACTTTAGAAGGGGATACCAAACCAGCCTCTGACGTGTTATGGCGTTATCAATTACAGACTATTGGGTGGATCAGAGAGAGTAGGACGATACTTTGCTGACATGACGGGTTCCAGGAAGCGGTTTAGAAGAAGGTGCGATCGTCTGAACAGAAAGTTTACTGTCCCAACTTTTCGGATGCTTCCTCGAACACATCATCAGAGACAGTCGCAGGCTGTGAATCTGAAACGTTAGGCCAATAAACCTCCTGTTTCAGCATCCTCGTTTCCATTCAAAAAGCGAAAAGTACCCACATCTCCATTTCGCTGTGACATCTTGCGAATTCATGCTCCCAGAAACGGTAGGCAGGATTGCGCAACAGCTCCGCTGACATCATCAGAATGCCCCAAGGGTGAGGTTGATTGACAACCAGTCGTCCCATCAGCACGCGACTAATCTGCTCCTTCACCTGCTCTTTGAAGTTTTCAGAGGAGAGGTAGCGGATGGTATAGGAGAAGTAGTAAGTGCGGGAGTTTGGATAACGTAGCCGGTTCGCCATGCAGTTAAGCAACAAATATCGACCCAGACCAGAAACAAAAAGAGAAAAGAAAACAAAGTCAAGACAGGCATTTGAAGCGGTTATCGTTACCAGAAGACAGATAAGACAGGCGACAGTACGCACAACAGATTATTATTGTCTCTAAGTGGCGACTTGTATGTTTGGTTTACATAAGGCAGGCTTTTACGGAAGGGGGGCGGGCAATTTCGTCCCGTACTAACACACACACACACACACACACACACGACAGTTCGTCCGTCGATTTCGACGATGACCACCGTGTGCCCCACAGACTGCATTGTGGGAGCAGGGACGGTGACTTACGCAGGGGTTTATAGTGCCAGTAGACTTGCGTAGCATCTACCTACACTCTCTCCTCCTCCCCCGCCTGGGCCCGGTGTCAAGACAGAGTCAAGAAGACCGGAGACGGGGGAGGCCGCAGGTGGATGGCTCCGACGGGTCTTCGCCTTGGCGCTCCACTCCGCACCCCTGGTCCACACAACAAGACCAGGATTTTGACCACAAAACAATGGGGTGGAGGCAGTGGTCCAGTTGTGCGACGAATGCCGACAACAGGGTCCGCCAGCGCACCCCGCAAATGTTGGCATTTGTTATTGCGCACACATAACGCCTGTCAGAGTCCGATGTGGCCCCCGTGTTCGTCCAGCGCATCTAACACGTGGCC